GATAAAGATTCATTCACCTCCAGTTTCATTACAGAAACAACCCAAAACTACACTGTTTGAGAGCAAAACACCTAAACCATAAAACCAAACAGAAACTAAAAAACTCAATTTTGCAAATTTAACTAACTTCTAATCAACAGAATCTTTCTGAAATGAAAATTTTCGTTTTTAAAAAATCTTTTGGTCCCTCAAAACATAAAGTTTTTAATCTGGGCATTAAAATCCAGAAGTTTTCGATCTCGGACGAGTCAACAAACTTACATTGGCCCGGTGGTATGAGAAACACGGCGAGCTTCATCGGCCGATAGATGATCCGGCGGAGTGGTAATAGCTTTATCGAGGTCGAAGAGTGCGTAACGAACGGAATAACGGAACGAGTGGCGGACAGGACGGAGACGGTCGTGCCAGACGGTGCCTTCGTAAAAGGAGACATTAGGATCGACGGCGGCGCGTGAAGGAAGGAGACGGTGGAGAAGGAAGCGAAACGGGAGGAGAAGAGAGAAGAAGATGGAAGTTGTTAAAGTGTAGATGATTGAACCGAGGAGATAGAGCAATTCCATATCTCTCTCTCTATCTCTATCTGATCTTTTCAAAAATCAGAGATTGACATTGATGACCCTTCAAATGTAGAGGATTCGTATATTTATTATGATTTAATACCTAAGTTTTATTATTTAGTGAGTAATTAGCTATTATTTTTGAATAGACGATGCTTCTGCATAGTCGTGATCGTGAATCTAATATAATCCCGTTTTAAAGGCCATTATTAATTTATTATCTTTAGTGACAGTATATTATTGTGTTGTGGACCCGAAAGCTAAAAAGGATTATTTTATTTTTTATTTTACAACCAGTTATTGTCTTATTGTCATAGGGTACATATTGTATAATCGTGGCTGTTGCGTGGACGTTATTAAGACACCTAATTTTCATTTGCATATGGATATATATTAATTTTTTTTATGGATAATTATTTTAATCATATTTGTACCTTGAAAATCTTTTAGCATCATGTGTTCATTATTACTAAAAAAAACCATTATCTTGTTGTAAAAATTAAATTTATGTAAAACACAAATACTAAAAAGAAAAGAAAAGTTTTTTTAATGATTAATAATACTAAAAGTTAATATTATTTTAGTTAATAAAAGAATTTGAAATAGATTACGTAAAAAAATATTGAGATTTAAAAATTTTAGTATTTATTTTGATAATATTAAAATCATATATTATAATTAGGAGAGAATAAAAAAATAAGAAGACCATATATAATTTTGCATATATAATATTAGTTGAAGACGAACGAGACAAACACATGAAAGAAGATCTTAAAACTAAATTCTTTAAATTCTCTATTGATCAGCAATTAGAAAATATTAGAAAACCCTTACCGTCTGAGAATAACACTAGTAAGAGAATAAGATTAGCCGCTCCTCTGGACTCTGGTTAGACCACCAAGAAATATTCGCCGCAAATCATGCGTTTTTGCATTTTGGTAAAACATTATGTAAATTTTCTTGATTGGTAAAATTTTGTATAATCACATTAGATAACACTGTTTTACCATAAAGCGTATTACTAATCAGAGTTTTAAATGCACTAAAAATGATATTATTATTACATTGGTGAGAAACTCGTAATACATGCTCTAGTTACGTTCAAATGTTGCTTATATTTGTTTCTTTTTTGACGAAAATTTTCCCTACTGGATTAGCAGTTTAGCACCTATAAAAACTGATGTATTTATTACTGGGCCAAGACATTTGAGGCCCATTAACTCCTAGATCAGTGAAACCTCAAATCTCAGTTAATGAATTTCGGTTGGTCCAGGACCTCCAGGTAGTTAAGCGAACCCAGTGATACTCTGCAAGCTTGTTCATTGAGTACTTTACGTTCTACAAATCATATACGTACACGTGTTAATTTAGTTAGTAAACCAACACGTGTAATATTTACATTGGTGTTATACAATAGAGAAGCCACATGGGATCAGAAGTATCGCATGGCGATGAAAACAATGTTAACATGTGGATTTGATTGCACAACAATACACATAATTCAGATTTTTTTTAATAATAAAATCAAAACCAATTCGATTTCATAATTTCACAGCTATTTTTTTTTTTGTAATTCTTCGATTTCTCCGCTTGTCACTGTATCGCCATTTCTGTTTATAAACACTTGTATATATTATAAACAGTCCAAATTGTCCCGAGCTCTGTGCAAAAATGTCTTCGATAATCCATGGAGCTGGAGCTGCTACGACGACGTTATCGACGTTTAATTCCATCGATTCCAAGATACTCGTAGCTCCTTCTCGCACAAATCTTTCAGGTTCGAATTTTGATTGACGATCGATCTGCATTCTCTGATTTCGAATTCTGGTGTTTGGAGCTTCTATTCAGATGGATTTGTGAGATCTTAAAGCAGTTTTTCGTTGTTTGATTTTGATGCAGTGAGGAGCCAGAGATATATAGTGGCTGGATCTGATGCGAGTAAGAAGAATTTTGGTTCTGGTCTCAGAGTTCGTCACTCTCAGAAATTGATTCCAAATGCTGTTGCGGTAATGTCTTTGTCTTCGATTTTTTTTTTTTTTTTAGGGTTTCTCCTTCTAGTCATCTAATCTCTAATGATTTACGGTTTTGTTTTCTGTTTTGTAGACGAAGGAGGCGGACACATCTGTGAGCACTGGGTATGTTTAGCACTTTTTTGCTTTGAAAATTCGATTTTGATTTTACTCTTTTGGGCTCTGGAATAGAATCATGGCTTGCTGATTCAAGGGTTTTGATACTGCTTGTAGAGTTCTCCGATTAGATTTTTCAATGCCTTTGGTTTCACTTGCCTCTGCTTTGTTTGCTTGAAAACATAGATTGTCAATACTTCTAAATGATTGTTTGTTCCAATATTTTACTACATTTTGATGGGATTCAAAGTTGGTTGAGACACTGAAATTTTAACTATGTGCTATCGGGTGTGGTGATGTAGGTTCTTGGCCAGTTCTAGATTAGACAAAATCTTCGTTGAAAAGAGCAAGATGTAGTTCTCTAGAGACGCTAATTTTCGAATTGATAATTGATAGTGATTGCAAAAGCTGAATGTGTTGCATGTCTTTGCTTCCCGTTGATGCCTTTAGTTGTGGTTATCATGCTAGATGATTAGGTTAAACCATTTAGTTACTTCCCAGTTCCTATGGACACATGCTAATCTCCCAAGAACATATATCAGTTTTCCGCAGAAAACATCTCTCTGGGATTTTTACATATTGTGCAATTGATTAGGCTTGTGTTAGATGCACAACTCATGCTACTTTCCATTTCCTCATTGTTTCTGTTAGGGATTCGTGTCGTTTTCATTTTCACATAAGCAATCCATAATGGTTTCAATGTATTTTTGATGTATCCATTGTCACAAATAGCACATTTCTTGCTCTACCAATAAACTTCCATGTATATATTCAATCAATGTCAAGATTATGTCTTTTCAGTCACAACATGAGTATAACCGATTTATCATATATATATGAATTTGCAGACATGAACTATTGCTTTTCGAGGCTCTTCAGGAAGGTCTAGAAGAAGAGATGGACAGAGATCCACATGTATGTGTTATGGGTGAAGATGTAGGCCATTACGGAGGCTCCTACAAGGTAACTAAAGGTCTTGCTGATAAATTCGGCGATCTCAGGGTCCTCGACACTCCTATTTGTGAAAATGCATTTACTGGTATGGGCATTGGAGCTGCCATGACTGGTCTTAGACCTGTCATCGAAGGTATGAACATGGGTTTCCTCCTCCTCGCCTTCAACCAAATCTCCAACAATTGTGGAATGCTTCACTACACGTCTGGTGGTCAGTTCACGATCCCAGTTGTCATCCGTGGGCCTGGTGGAGTGGGACGTCAGCTTGGCGCTGAACATTCACAGCGGTTAGAATCTTACTTCCAGTCCATCCCTGGGATCCAGATGGTTGCTTGCTCGACTCCTTACAACGCCAAAGGCTTGATGAAAGCTGCGATTAGAAGCGAGAACCCCGTGATTCTGTTCGAACACGTTCTGCTTTACAATCTCAAGGAGAAAATCCCGGATGAAGATTACATCTGTAACCTTGAAGAAGCTGAAATGGTCAGACCTGGCGAGCACATTACCATCCTCACTTACTCGCGGATGAGGTACCATGTGATGCAGGCAGCAAAAACTCTGGTGAACAAAGGGTATGACCCCGAGGTTATCGACATCAGGTCACTGAAACCGTTCGACCTTCACACAATCGGAAATTCGGTAAAGAAAACACACCGGGTTTTGATCGTCGAGGAGTGTATGAGAACCGGTGGGATTGGGGCAAGTCTTACAGCTGCTATCAACGAGAACTTTCATGACTACTTAGATGCTCCGGTGATGTGTTTATCTTCTCAAGACGTTCCTACACCATACGCTGGTACATTGGAGGAGTGGACAGTGGTTCAACCGGCTCAGATCGTGACCGCTGTCGAGCAGCTTTGCCAGTGAATTCATATTTATCCGATGAACCATTTTTTATCATTTACCTCTCCATTTCCTTTCTCTTTAGCTTAGTTCTTAAAGAATTTGTCTAAGATGGTTTGTTTTTGTCAAAGTTTGTCTCCTTTGTTGTGTCTTCGAATATGGTTTTGTAACTCAGAATGTTTGTTTGTTAAATTTTATCTCCCACTTTTTTTATTTAAACCCTTAGAATTTTCTTCACAATTACAAACAAGAAGTGCTAATTACAATTACTTTTAACCTTAGAATGTTCTTTACACTTAGTTATAAACACATACACAACTCATTTCTTTCTGAATCCAAACAACGACTTTATTACAATAACCCCACGTTAAAATAAAACCAAAAAACCTTCTAGTGCCAATAACCAATTTACAAAAATGAAAAGTAATAAACACCTAGAGAAAGCTTTTTGCATTCCAAAAGGGTTCTACTAAAAAGAACCCCCCAAAAAAAAGAAAAACAACAGTTAACAAAAAAATAATAAAAAGACAAACATTGATTCTTGGTTTCTTATATTACCACTTGGCTGATTTACATTTAGCAGCTCTTCCTGTATCGTTCAAGATGGAACCAAAAGTCTTGATGACTTCTTCATAGGTTGGCCTTTTGTAATCCACTGCTTGCTCTATCACTTCTTCCGGCTTCGCCCATTTCCACTCTGCAAACTCTGAATCCGCTTCGTTGTTCGCTAGATTGATCTCTTTTTCGTCCTCATCGTTTCTCAGTCTCACTAAAAACCTGTGGGATTATTTAAGTTTCAGAAAAATGAGCCACATTCTTTGCTTTGGCGAAATTAAGTAGTATCGAAGGTTTACCATTTCTGAGCTTGACCATGCCATTCACCGCCCCAAAGACGGTTAACCTTTGCTTTTACTGCAGGTGGGAAATCATATGTCAACCAATTTGGGACCTGTTTTAGACATTAAAGAAACCAAAATTGGTAAAGCTTCTGATGCATATCGGTTTTTGTAAGGGTTAACATAAGCGTTAGCGACCTCAGAGACGATTTCAGCTGAACTGACACCAGTTTCTTCTTGTAACTCTCTCATGGCTGCTGACTTTGGATCCTCCCCATCTTCAATGCCTCCCTGTAATATCCTCAGTTTAGTGAGCTGTTCAACTCAAATGAGGTTTTTTTAAGATAAATGCAAAGCAGAGAAAACAGTCTCATGAATCTCTCAACACTTTAAAACTTTTGATTACTTCACCAATCTAGAAAATGTCCTTTCTCAAATTCTTGGCCATCTTTTTCTTTTCCATTAGAGTGGTGTTAAACATTGGTAATTTGCTATGTTTTGCTCTAAACAACAAAAGGACAACACCATGAATATTTTGAATCATCGGCTTTGTGGCCAATAAAAGACATAGAAACAGAGAAAAAATATCGAAAACTCTCAAAACTTCATATCAAAGTGAGTGATTAAAACACACCTGTGGCATCTGCCATGCTCCAGGAACATTCAATCTAGAAGCTACAAATACCTGTGAATTATAATCATGGTCAATAAACTTAGTACTATTATTACCAGTGGCAAAAACAGTAAATTAATCAGAGAGCTTAATTAAAAATGATGAAATGTTACCAGATTATCCGAGTTGATTAGACAAACACCAACATTGGGACGATAACCAGGAGGTAGATTCTCCATTTTTCTGTAACCAATTACCACTTAATACCATTATTCAACAGCAGATTATGATAATAACAAGAATTTTTAGCAATACTGTTTTTATGTACTTTGCAAAACCCAAAAATGTTTATGTTTCTACACTCTTTGGCTTCTTTACAAGCAGATCATAGAATTTCGACAGAATATTGCAAAGCAAAACCTAACTACTCTATTGTTTTGGATCGAAGAAAAACAAACTAAAAACAATCCTGTTCGAGTTCTATTCACTAGTCAAAGACAGAAATGTTTCCAATTTCCACTCTTAAGTCGACTTTCAAATCCAAAGAATAACTTTTAACTAAAATAAAAAGATAAAGAGTCAAGAATCATAATTAATCAGAGTTTGTCAATTTAATCAAAACACAGAATTAGATAACAAACACATAGAAACAAATCAAGCACACACAGATCTGAGAAACAAAGACGAAACAGCATCGAACAAAGGAAACAAACCTTGTTTATTTTTTATCTTTGACTTTGCAAAAGCAAGAAAAAAGAAAAAAAAAAGTTTTTAACCCAACGAAGCAGCAACGAAGAACATGTGTGTGTGTTTTTTCTTTCAAACACAAAGCACACGTATAAATCTTTTACATAATATATATACAGAATTGGATTCGGTCTAAAACGATGACGTTTTGTAATATCAGCTCTGACTATTTGGCATCTTATTCTAACTGTTTGTATTGGGTCGGGCCCACCGACGACTTATTTTAACATAATTTCAGCTGCCACGTGTATAATGTAATGTCAAGACAAAAAATTTAAAAGGTATTTTTGGTTTTTGGTGTGTGATAATTAATAAACGCTTAACTACAGTTTTTTTTGTCAACGTTTTTTTTTTTTTTGTTATAAATGACCTGGTTGTAATTTTCAAATTAGTTGACAAAAAATTGTTTAACTTCTAATGTAAAATTAGTTGACTTTGCAGAGGGAAAATATTAATTCCAAATTTGAAAATATGTATTTGCAAAAAAGAAAAGTTGTATTTGACGGAGGAAAAAGTGTGATGTCATTGACACTTTGTGATAAGGACAACAACAAAAGAATACATTAGCAAGTTGGCAAAAAAGAAATAATCTTTTAAGAAAAATTATAAGGTAATGATATAAAAGGATGGCAGCGCACGTTAGTGAAATGAGGTGGAAAGTAAGTTAGCACCAAGGAATGTAGGCGCACGATAGAGGAGAAAAGGTTGGGGATGGAGTCAATGAGTGGACAGAGAGACGAACGTGCGGTGGTGGGGAAGCCAGGGAGTTGACTTAATAGTGAATTAATGATTATTTTATTTTATTTGTTGTGATTTTTTTTGTCATTATTATTTACGACAAAAACAGTATTATTATAATTTGTCTTTGCACTCAATCACGGATCATGAAAAAATCTGCCACCATCTCTCTCTGTTTTTTTTAATCATTTTTTTATAAATAGGATAAATGATCAAATGGAACCAAATTGATCAATCATGTCTCTGAAGTTAACACTACCCTAATTTATCTGTAAAAAGTAAAGCTCGTTCACTTTTCATAGAATTACTGTTTGGAGGAAATAAACTCTACAAACCATAAAATAACTTGTTAGTTTTTAAAGAAATTAATGAAAATTCTCAAACAATTGAAAATTTTCGATTATCTAGAGTTTTAAGCTTTTCCATTGGTTATTCCTACAAAAAGAAACTTGTCGATAATCATGTTGAATTCAATCTTAATTAAGTACAAAGGAGTGCTTCAACTATCATTGATGTGAGAGAATTCCAAAAATGATCAAGAACCCACCACTTGTGGTAAAAGAAGATTTTGATGCAACAGTTATAAACTAGTTTCGCCAAAAGATCATCATTAACGAGAAAATCTTATACCTTTTTTTTTTTTTTTTTGTCAAACAGAAAATCTTATACTTTAAACTTGATTTCTTCCACTACACCAATATATTAAATTTTGAATCAAGGAACACACACACTTCAGTTTATTCGGACCATATCCATCAAGGTATCAAGACCATAACTTTCATTCCGGCCCATCCATTTCTTGTTAATTATTGGTTCCTTTTTGTGCTGCTTAATTACAAAGAGTTTCTTTTGGAGTTAAGAGGTCAAGATTTTTCTATTTAAATCAAAATTAGGGTGTCTAGTTTTCTATTCGTTTGTTACTCCTATATATATCATTTGAAGATTGGCTTTTTTGTTATCCTACATTATAAATGATGATCTTAATTCATTATCATATATATATGTAGACCAATGTGAAAATTACGAAGCTCTTTTATGTGCAATGTCTTAGATATATATAGATAATGACCTCATAAAGATCTTTTAGTTAGGTAAACAAAAGATAATAATATAAAATTTAAAAGATGTGTATGAATAATAGATCATGCAAAGTTTGCTCAAGAAGTGCATATCTTTTTTTTTTGAATCTAATGTTAAATTATATTCAAAAGAAAAAATACGTTGTTACAACAAAGTGCATCGTAAGTTTGAAAGAAATTTGAAAGAAAATTTGAGACCAACAAAAACTAGAAAGCTTTAGAGTTTAAATCCGAGCTTGTAGCCATCTTTGATACGCCGCTTCGTATCGTCTATCTCCTTTTCTTCGAATCATCGAAATCTGGTTTTTGATTTGCTTCTCTATCCATCCCGCTATGATAGTCCCCGAATGAGGCTGTTCATCATGTCTACGACCATTTCTCTCCTTCCAAATCATATAGACGGAAGTTTGAAAGAGATACCTAGTGAGGAAGCTCTCCACCCGATCTTGCTTTGAATTTGAGATGTGATCTATAATTTGAGCCCAAACTGTTGTGTATTTTGCTTTGAGGATCCCTTTCGCAAGGGCAGCCCATATTTCCTGCGTGTAGTCACAAGAGAAAAAAAGATGATCCCTTGTTTCCACACAAGTGTTACAGAAAACACAAAGTCCCGATCCACCTCCGTTCCAGCGTTGCATACGTTCTCCGTTCCAGCGTTGCATAAGTACTCGTTTTGTGTAGCAAGAACTGCATATCCATATAGGATCACCAACGATTCTAAGGTGCATATAATTTCTACTAAAAAAAGTGTTGAAGCGTCGACTGAATAAATTAAAACCAGATAAATCCATAAGTTTATAGTAATCACTTTAAATTTTATAGTATAAAAAAGTACTCCGAGTGGGATACTAATCCAGATTAATTCCCAGAGCTATGATCATTGGCCAATAATGGATGCTAGGGTGTTTTTATCGCCATTAAAACGTTTTGGGCCCCCAAAGGCCCATTAAACACATGATATGTTTGTCGTTGAGGACAAGCCCTCCCCAATACGTCTTTCAAAGTTTTTGTTTTGTTTCCTGCTCGTCTCTTTGCATGATTTGGTATTCTAGGCCATATCATATGTGACCCAACTCGTTCAACCAAAATCTTTTAGTGATATGAAATCTTCAACCAAAATCCAACTAATAAAATATAGGTTATTGTCTCAAAGAATTGAAAGATTTAAGTGGGAAATAATTGATTAATAAAATATACACTGCGAGAGGCTTCTAAATTAATGTACTTTAGTCTTTATGGTATATATATCTATGTACTAGCGACTAGTGCGCAATATCGTTTGGGATTCGACTGTGTACCTCATTTAAATTACGGCCGGGAACTAATTTTCCACATTTTGGGCATTCTCTTGAGCGTGCGGTGATAATGTACTTTTGATATTTACGGATTTACAAATTATTGACTTTTAAAATTTTAGTTATATTCTGTAGAGTACGTTGCTTATATGTTTTTGGTATATGTAAAAAATAAGGTAATTAGTGTTTTTTTAAAAAAATCCAAATTAGGAAGAGTTTTATCGCTGATCAACAGGGTAAAGAACTTTGAGCTTTGTCATTGGCTTTGGAAAAGAAAACATTTTTACGTCCCAAGTTGTTTGGTTCGTTTGATTCTCCAATGATGTGTTGCGTTTTTAACGGTTTCGAGTCTTGATTTAGTCCGTGTTTTGAGTCATCTATCGTGTCAAAGTCCGTCTTTTGCGTCTTTTCGGTTGTGTCTTGAGTCCTTTGCAGGTTATAGGTGCTCGAGCTGGATTCGGAGCATCTTGTGCGTGATTGAGCCTATTCGGAGCTAAAACAATGGAGAAACGGTACAAGAGATCACCAGGAGCTGGGGATCGATCGATCCAAGGCGTGGATCGATCGATCCCAATTTGTGACGATGAAGCCAAAAGTACCAGTAGCTCAGGATCGATCGATCCCAGGAGGGGATCGATCGATCCAACCCTCGTCCGTCAAGAAGTGATCAACCAGAAGCTCGGGATCGATCGATCCCAGGTGGGGATCGATCGATCCACCCTTTTCGACGACCAGACCGGTTTTCCTTAACCGGGTTTATTTGCCTTTTTCTGTACTTGGGTATAAAAACCCAGAAAAACCTATTTTTCTTTCTACGCTTTCTTTCTGCAATTTTCTGAGAGCTCTTTTGTAAGCTACTCCCCTTTGGATTAGAGATTCATTCCTTCTTGACAATTTGGAGAAGATTTCTAAACCTTTATCTCATTTATTCAATTCAACTATGTTTTCTTCATTGATTTTTGTTATCTCTTTTTCTATGTGTGAGTAGTTCTCCTATTGGGTTTTAGGGTTCTTATTAGGGGATTCAATGGATTGATGGATTGATTGTTGTTTGGAATTCTCATTCTCTAGGTTCTTTGATTCACATGTTCTTAATGCTAGAATAGGATTGATCACCCTGTTGTAGATTCTAGGTTTTTCTATGCATCAAAAGTGTTCGATAGAATGCCTGAAAGAATGTGAATTGAGCAATGTATTTCTAGCCAACGAAAGTTGACGTTAGGACGCATTGTGAACTTAATGAACTTGTTTGATAATGCGAATTTGACTAGGAAATTACATGCGAAAGTTTAGTAATCGAGTAGTCAAATTTAGTGATTAATGTCTTGAAAGAGAATTAGTCTAAATATGTTCATGTTCAAGAACGGTGCTTAATCATTGAATTCCTTGTCTCATGTTTCCATTATTCGTTGATCTCTGAAATACCCTAATGCCCAATGTCTTTAATTCATAAGTTTAATCGTTTTAAATTACTTGCATTTTTATTTATAATTCTGAAAACCCAAACAAAATAAACTTTTCGCTTTAGCTAAGAACGAGTCTCGGAAATCCTTAGAGTATCTTTGGTCCTTGTGGATCGACCCCGTATATACTGCCTTGCGGTTAAGTGTATCGGGTAATTACTCGAGCAATCATCCAACAAAACGAGTTGTTCACTTTTGTTTTTATTCATGATCGTTATTCGTTCGCTCATGTAACATGTGGTCTTTGAAGTTTGAACTGCTATATTATATCACTCGGAAAATGATTCCAACTTTTGACTATAGATAGACTAAACTCTTACATGCATATCGATATACTTTTCATATAATGTCTGGTCAATTTGAGTGTACCATATTCATGTCGACATACCTTTTTTTTTTTTAATAACGTACATGCCATCTTAATTAATATGACCCCAATGTATAAAAGTAAATACGATTTCGCATTTTGACTCATAAATTACAAAGAAATATCTTCTTACATTTTCAATAATGCTTTTAAGCAACATTCGAGTCGTATCTCTCTTATTTTCACTTATTAATTAGAAAAATCAAATTATGTAGTGTATTAATAAGAAGTGTAATAAAAAGTCTAATAATTTTTTGGTATTATGTATGGAAAACCTTATAAAAATAGCAAAATGGAAGGATTATAAATACTTTATGTATACAGAGAAAAATGAAGAATAAGTTTGAAGGAAATGGGGAACAGACGTGAGACCAGGGGGAAGATGGTTAATAGAGAATATGCTTTGAGTTTGAGACCTTACATTTAATTTCCTGCCACGAGAACACATCCCAAGCGCCACATATATAACTAAATCTTCTATTTTAAAATGATTAATTTATTATGAATTTTATGTTCGATTTATAAAATTATATAATCGTAAGGGTGTTTATATGTTAGTATATATGACCTTAAAACGTACACGTATCACTGGTGCATATATGAAACCCTAGCTTAAAATTAAAAATACATAAATGTGTGTCTCTTCTATGTTCATAGAAGACAGTGAGAGCTTCATAGCCCGACCTTTGCGCAAGGGCCAAACCGCAAAATCTTTCGTATCTTCATTTTTTATTCGTT